AAGGACAGCCTACCAGGGTCAGCTCAGTCCTTCCACCATGTGGGTCTTAGGGATTGAATTTGGATCATCAGGCTTGGTAGCAAGTGCCCTTATTTGCCTGTACCTGCCAAGCCATTTCACCAGCCCTTACTTATCTTTTGCTATGAGGTTCAATTCTGCTCAGGTTTCTGCTGTTATAGTTGGGTGATTATGTCTTAGTTTCTAGGCACACATACTCTTTCCTTAAGTCACCTATTAATTAACGTGAATAGAGTCATTTCTTAAAACTAGAATAACATAAGAGAATTAATTCAGAATTAGAAAGTTCAACAGCAACAGCAAGTATTTTTAAAAGACTTTAAAATTCTAAAAGAAAGGCCGGGCATGGTGGCACACACCTTTAATCCCAGCACTTGGGAGGCAGAGGCAGAGGCAGAGGCAGGCAGATTTCACACAGTTCAAGGCCAGTCTGGTCTATATAGCAAGTTCCAGGCCAATTGGGACTACAGGGAGACCCTGTCTCAAACACACACACACACACACACACACACACACACACACACACACACACACACACAAAATCTAAAAGACACGCTCAATATGTCTACTGATAGTTTGGTCATTCATTCAACAAGTATTTTTCTTCTACTATGTGCTGGACACTATTAAGGCTTATCAGTGACTAAAGATGTGTCAGTGATTAAGCCAAAGTCTGATATGAAGTTTAAGTCATGAGGTATACAGACCATAAGCAAATAAGCAATCACACATATCATGTATAATGTGACAGGTGCTTCAACAAAGCAGGGTAAGGAGAAGGATGTGTGTGGCAGTTTCAGATAGTGTGATTAACAGAGGGTCTCAGTGGAAGAAAGACTGTTCAAAAGGTATTTTAAGGGGGACAGAGGATGTACCACCGTGTGATTGCTGCACCTGGTATACTAAGCTAGTTCATTTCACATAGCCACAATTAGTTAACACTGACTGTAACTTTCTCAAGTGAGATAAACCAGAAAACAAGAATTCAAACTGAATTCTATGAAGAAAAGTGCAAAATATTGGCAACGTTTAGCTTGGGAGAAATAGAGTGAAAGGAGGAACATGATGGAGTCTTTAAAATTTTTTTATTTATTCATTTGTGTATGTGTGTGAGTGTGTGTGTGTGTGTGTGTGTGTGTGCACGCACACAAGAGCATGTATGTGCCAATGCACCTATGACGGTCAGAGGACAACTTGAGGAAGTCAGTTTTCTCCTGGGCTTTGAACTCAGACCCTTAGGCTTGGCAGGAAGTGCCCTTACTCAACTGAGCCATCTTGTCCACCCTTTCAAAAACTTCTGAGCATGCTTTGCAAGAGGCATCAGATTGATTCTGTTGGAACTATCCTGTAAAAACGACATGGCTGATTGATTAAAGAAGTTTAGTATTATTATTGTGTGTGTATGTATGACTCAGTGTGGGAGGGGTAAGGAGGAGACATGTGAAGGTACATATGTGGACTTCAGAGGACAACTTTGTGGAATTGGTTCCAGGGATTGAACTCAGGTCTTCAGGCTGGTGTGGCAAGTGCCTTGGTCTGCTGAGCCATTTCACTGGCCCTTTTTGTTTTGTTTTTAGGTATAGGAAGATTGGGTCACTTGATAGGGAAATTATGAACTGAATGAGTGTCAGATGGACAGTTAGACTGAATAACTTTTAAGACTCTGAAAATTTTTGATTGTATGACCTCTAGGAATGGTAAAATTATTACCTCACAAGACCTCTCATTCCGAGGCCTTTCTAGAGCAGAGAAAAGAATGTAGACAAGACAGCCATCTCCAGGGAAGAAAGGTAGAGTCCTGTGGATCTCCTTCCCAATTTGCTACTAAATATATGGTTTCCCAAGCAGTTTCCTGATTGGATCTGTTGTGAGTGTGCTATGTCAGGCACATCCATAGACAGGCACATCTGTGTCTTTACCCAATGTCAGAATTCGTTGAATAACAAATTCACAAGCTCCTTTGCTTTCGTTGGCTGTAATTTGCCAAGTAGTCCTGATTTCCCTTGGTAGCCAGCTGCTGGCAAACACAAACATTTTTTTTATTACAATGTCAACTACTAATGCAAGCTTTCAGCTCACACGTTACAAACCACACAGTGATTATATCTCTAGATGCATATATGTAGGTTGCAGAATGACTCTGAAAGGGTTATAGAGGCTGCAGAGTTCAAAACAGCCTTACTGGAGGCAGAGGCAGAGAGTGATATGGGTGCAAGGAGACCCACTGTGGGTGTTCAGATAAGATTAATAATCCAGCTGGACAAGAACCCAATTGGAAGATGCTAGAAGCACAGAGCCAAGCTGCAGGGTTGCAGGGCCCAGCTAAGCTGCAGAGGCCCAAGACCATGAGATGATGAGGTACAGGTTGGGGTCTGAACAAATGAAGTTGCCTTGCCAAGTACTGACAACAAAGCTCAGCTGAAGGACAGATAAGAGTTCTCTTCCTGTCAGTCCTTGACACACACACATTGGTCAAATGGCAGATCTGTGGCACTGTCACCATAACAGTGTTAGGGATCCTCTTCTTTATGGAGTCCACGAGAGAGTGTCTTGCCCTTTTGTTCTGATATATTCATTAAGTTCTCAGAGCTGGTTTTTTAAAATACAATTTTACTATCCTATGTACTCATATGGTCCCAATCTACTTTGATAAGTTTATAGGTGGTACCTTCTCACTTTTAAGAGTTAAATTGCTGGCTGGGTATGGCAGCGTTTGCTTTTAATCCCAGCACTTGGGAAGCAGAGACCAGCCTGGTCTACATAGCAAGTTCCAGACCAGCTGTAGTTACAGAGAGACGCTGTCTCAAAAAAAGACAAAAAAAGGAAGTTGCATATTAGTCTGTGTTTCAGGGTTGGCACTGGGCAAGTGGTAGTTTCTATGTATACCACAAAATGGAGAGCCATCCTGCCTCTGCATTTGTACTCATAATGAAGCCAAATGATGCTTTGTAAAGTGGAGTCACCCAAGCCAAGGAACAGGCTGAAAGGTGCTGTTTTACACAGTATGGAGTAACTTGGAGCAGGGCACAGTCTGAGGTCCACAGACTCCTTCTCTAATAGGATGCTTGCATTGTTTTGACTTAGTCCAATGCAGATCAGTCCAGGAACTCAGTCCAGGCTTTAAACCTCCAGAGATGCAGCTTATTTTCTCATTTGCTCTTTTTTCCTTGGCCACAGGAAACTCAACTTCAGTGCAAACCTACCAAGAACATCTGGCTGCCTATCTTGCCTCAGAAAAAGAAATTAAGACAAGATCTGAAACCAGTCTTTTCTATGAAACAGATAGGTGATCTTGAATCCAAGGAACAGCAGTGGTTCAGGTGAAGTGCTGGCTCTTCTTATACTTGTTTTCTTTCCTCTCTTTCACATTGCTGTCCCATTTTAATACAATTAAGAAGCACAAATAGAGACTCAAAGAGGTTTAGGATAAGGTTGAATGGAAGACCATGCAAGGAGAAGGTTCGTCATGTGGTTTTGGTTGTAAAGAACACATCCAATCTTATTCATCTATGTACCCACATCCCAAGTGACACCTTCCCATGCCCCACCCTGCCGATGGATCCCATATACTCTGTCATCCCTGTTACTGTCTGCTGTGTTGTCAGCACCCCCAGCTGTTCCCCGGTGCTTGTCCATCTGCTGAATCTAGTCAGCCTAACTAGAGATCCTTGTTTTAGGAAGATCAGCTCTTCCTCATCTAGCAGCGATCAGTTGTCAATATTCCTTTAGATAAGACTGGGGTCTGCTGTTCATCTTCCCATTTCTATGCTGGGTTACTGTCTGGGAGTCTTTTGGGCCACCCTGGCCAACAACTCAAAGGAAGGTATCTCCTGTCTGGCATTGTTTCTTGTTATGTAGCCTTTAGCTATATACATGGATGGACTCTTAAAGAATTATATTGACCCCTTTAATCTTTGGTTATACTTTCCTTTTGGGCGTTTAAGACCATGCAGTTGGTCCAGATAAGCCAATTTATTTTTACTCTTAAGGTTGTTTGAGGATCTGTTCCTCAGGGGTCATATGGGCTTGGGAGGAGCC